TGAAACCTTGCTCAATTCTACACCTTGCAGATCATTGACTTGGTGAGGTTGGAAGGGGCCTCTGCAGCTCATCCAGCCCCCAAACTGAAACAAACTCCCACAGAAAAGCCAAACAGCTGCTTTGTGTCATGTCAGGCCTCAAAACCCCATCTTTTTAAACCAAGCTGGCATGGGTGAAGATGGCAAATACAAAATGCATTGTTCTGTAGCACACAACATCCCTGACCTGAGTTTATTCACATTAATCCCACAAATGAGCTACAGCTTAAAAGCCTGTGCTAAACAATTAGAACAAAGTCATCCTAAGCACTGAATGTTTTTGTTACAGCCTGCAGCATTAGTTATGGCTAGAATGGCCAAATGGTTACAATTAGGGCCAAATGCAGCAGTTCTGCCTGCACAGAATGTGTGATCTCTGTGAATGTAACAGCAAATGCCAACTTCCAGTGTAAACTGTTGATTGTAATTGAGCGGACTGACAAGAAGAGGTGATCTGTGATCTCTACAAAGATCTACAAACCCACTGTGGCTGAAGTTCATCAAAGTGCTTCCAAGACCTTCACACCTGAAGGTGACTGCCAGCACTGCTGAGCCTGGACTAATTTGAAAACTTAGTCCAAAAGCTTGTCAGTGCAATAGTTGCTCAAAGGCTAACCTGCCTTTGAAAATATCCAGAGGAAATTTCCACTTTATGTTCATATATGGCCAGAATGTAATAACCAGTGCCTGTAGAGTGTCCTAACAGAGGTAACACAAACAGTGGTGTTTTAATCTATGCATTAATCATGTTGTAGGTTGGTGTGTCAAGAATGAACAACTTATTTTGCTACAGAATCTCAGCACAGCTGAGCTGCAACCCCTGTCCAGCAGTGTGAGAATGACATCCTACCTGATTCCAGGGGCGAGGGACCATCAGTGTGAGCCACAAACCCATTGCAGGAACTGGAAGTGTTAGAGTGAAAAGGCTGCAGTAACTGGTTTAAAAGTTATTTTGAGTGCAGTAAGGGAAATGGGATATCAGAGGTTATTTTATAATGGCTGACTGGCTCTGAGGGGGGGCTGCCTTTGCAGAGGACACAATTCCATCAGTGCAGAAGCCTGAGCTCTTGGACAAAATAACATTGCCTTCAGCTTTCTCTCACCTTTCAGGTTTAACTCATGCACTTTCCCCCTCCCATATGGCTCACTGAAAAGCTGTAAATCTGACCAGGTTCCTGTGGTACAGGCCTGGCACCTAAAAACAACGAAATAAGGTCAAATAATAATCAAAGAGAAAAAAACAGGCCCAAACCACTGGTTAAAGCAAATCTGGTGAGTTATTACAAATGCTGAGATATGATACTGAGTTTCCATACTTGGAAAAAATAAAACAGGCAAGAATTGCTTGTTTGGCAATAATTGAAGTTTTTCCCTCCTGTGTGTCCAGCTCTTCCCACACAACCCTGCCATGAGTTTTAAATGCATGCCAAGTTTAGTTCTGGAAAAATTCACACTACCATAGACAACTGCTGATTAAACATTATGAAAACATAACCAGCAATATTCCTCACCTAACCCTGGGCTCCCAGTTTTCAGTTCAGCCATCTGCTCTCCTATACACCCATTAACTGCAATAATAAAGGGTGAAGGTACCTTTGAAACCCTGTGTGCTCCTTAAGGGAATCTGAAGGTTTAAATCAAACCCCAGGTTCTGCTCCTCAGCCCTGTGTGCAGAGAGGGGAAGGCACACAGCTTTCCTCTGAGCATTTCTGTGCCTGTCACTTCTCAAACTCAGCCATACTGCACGGGTGCACCTGCTAAAAGTCATGGGAAAAGAGAAATAGATGAACTATTATGAAACTATAAAATCAGTGCCAACAGAATCATCACAAATAACTGCAATTTCCTGGTGTCACTTCTAGCCCAAACTTGATTATATGTTTTCTAGATTTAGGTTTTTAGGAGCATGCATTTTGTCTGCTGCCTCCAGTCAACTAAGAGAAAATGTGAAATAAAACTAGAAGTGAAATTATTTATGTTGCATCTCCAACACACTATCAGCCTGTAGCTGAGACTCCCAACAAATTCAAGGAGTAACACTACAAAACTACCCAATTATGGGGTTTTGATTGGGTGTGAGTTTTTTTTAATTTCTGTGTTTCTCCCTTTCTTTTTCTTTTAAATGCTACATTAGAATGTAGCTGGCAATTCAAGGTAATAATGCTCATACACTAAACAATTCACTGCTGTGTGGTGTCATATAAAGAATACTCTTGACCTGCCCAAAGAAAATATTTTCAAGTGAAAGACTAATGAGTTAGGCGTGTGAATACAACCTTTCTAAAACATTTTTATCAAAACTATAAAATATACAAACACTTCAGCAAAAACATTTTTGGACAGAGTAGAAAGCACCACTTACCTCATGCTGAATTTGTCAGTTTGATGAATGAGGCACAACACTCAACACACAAGTCTAAAGAGGTTGAGAAGACATTTTTAATGAAATTACAGACTTCCTTAGAATCAATCCCTTTGGACTTGCTTGGCAGCAGCCTGTCAGAGGATCATTCGGCAGCTTACACTGTCCTTGCTTTATTCTGTGATCTGTAACTTTGGTTAGGCTTCAGTTTCCACCACCAAAAGTGGTATTAATGATACAATGTGACCAGAAGGATACTCAGTAACACAAGCTGTTAAACACATGAAGGAAAATGTAGCTTTGCAGACACACCCCTAAATAATACTCAAAATAAGGCTAAGAAAACCAAGTTGACAGAATGTACTTCAAACACTGAATTTATTACAAAGGTGCATAGAGTTTATGCCATTTGGTTTGAATACTTATGTTGAACCTACAAACAACATACAAAGCAAGGTTACAGTATGTAACAAAAGCAACAATGATTATCTAGTAAATTCAATATTCTACTGTCTTTAATTTCACATAACATTTCTGAAACAAAGGCACTTACAGAATTTAAAATGAAAAGATATATCAACATTTAAAGTCTTAGCTCCCTCCCCCCTCCCTAGAGCACAGTGGAGAACAAGTGTGATGTGAAGGCAACAGCTACTGGGACTGACACATCAGCAGAGCTTAAACTGAAAACTTCTGCATCATCTCCATTTTTTCTGCAACCATCCCACTCTCTTCAGTATCTGAAAACAAGCTTCAACAAGGCTGCAGGGCAAGAACCAAATAAAATTTGGTCCTTCACCTCACTGTTAATGATGATTAATGCACTAACAATATGAAATTAATCACAATCTGATTAATTTTGAACTGGACTATTTTCTCTTCTTTCAGTAAGTTTTGTAAGTGAATTAGTAACAGTACTGCTAAGGCAGCTCCTTGTACATTAATGACTGATCTCTTCACTTGTACATAGCCATCATTTGCACATGTCCACTGAGGGAAAGGTGTCAATTTTCAGGCTCCTTAACCCTCATCTCCCACAGAGAGCAGTGGCAATTCAGGACCATCTGGTTGGTCTGTACAACTTCCACCCCAAAACCTCATATTTGGGAATGTCCCTTACTGCTGCCTCCTTCCTTTGCTCCCATCTCCTCAGGGATGAGGACTGAGCCATCCTGCCATGAAACTGCAGATTTCCCTCTCACAACCCAAACTGTGACTGCCACCAGCTGCTCCCTTTGTCACACCAGGAAGAGCAGGGCACAGTGACAGCCTCAGGAACCCCACACTGGGTGCTGTACCTGTGCTCTCCCTGCTCCACACAGGCTAACAAAGGTGCTGCAACAATCTCTGCCCTCCTTCTCCATGAATAAGCACCAGGGGTAGGATCAGCAGCATGGGATTTATTTCTGCAGTTCCTCAGTGCTCTCCCACAGAAACATTCCAGATTTCTAAGGCAATACTTCCTCCTCCATACAGAAGACACCATCCTTTTTTGGTTGGTCCCACGTAACATCTGACAGTGTCAGGAAGTTTTGCCCAATTTCTCAGCTGATGTGGCAGGAAAGAGGAGGAACACAGACACAGGATACATGCAGATAAATGCTCTGTAAGTGCCTCTTGGCACCATTTAATGCTATTAACTTCAACACTCAGAGAGGTATAACAGAGGGGCACAGGTTGTCATGAACCCCAATGTAAAAACTTTCAACAAGTTTCTTTTGAAATGCCCTGAAAACTTTCTTTAAAAAAGAATCTGAATAATCCAGAAATAGACTCAAAAAATCAGGAAGGGGAACAAGGCTGCCTTTGACAACAGCAACTTCCACCCACTCTGTGAGGTAAAACAATGCCACCAAACAATAATATACCCCAAATGTAGAATGACAGGACAAATGGCTCAATGGCCTCTCTAAAAAAGTAAAATCAGTGTAAAAAATATGTTAAAATTATTTCAGTGATTATGCCACAGTGATACATGCAAATAACTACATAGCTCTATGAGGATTAACAACAAATTGCATTTCAATGTTGGAAAAGACAGAATTGTTGAAGACAGTGAAAAAACCCCCACCTTATTTATCTGAGCAATGAAAGATTCATAAAGCCTAAAGCCCCAGCAGTGTAAACAGCCATGAGGATGTCTCCAGATGTTTCATGACTGAAGGCATTACCTTCTTAAATAAAAATACATTACCTGCTTGTGGCAAACCCTTCCTTTCCCTGACTTCTCATTCTGCTCAGCTTTATGGGAATGCTAAAGACAAAGGGGAGGTGTAATGCTCACTGTGGCCCCTCACCCAGCACACTGTTACTCCACTGCAGACTGGATTTATAAAGCTCTCTAATTCTTAGGTTCCTGCCACCTACAGTTCCCACTAGAGACAGTGGGAAAACCCTGAGCATTTGAAAACCCCAATCTTCTGCTGATATCCCATCCCTCCTGTACAAGAATTCCTTCTCTATGAGGAGGCTGCCAAGGTACCTCTGTTAACCTGTCTTTAAGGGGCTGATTTTAATTCCAAACTCATCAACAAAAGATTACTCAATTAAGTTTGTCCAATACTAGCTGAACAAGAAATACTCATCCAATAACTTTTCAGGGTTTCAGCTTTTGATCTATTTGGTCCTTTAAGTGGCAGAGAGTCTGTTGATTTCTAGCTATAACACCCAGTGGAGGCACAGTTTATAAACCTTAAAATTGGGACAGAAAACAAGGAAACAACCAACTCATGCTATTTAGAACTAGCTCAAAGGCAATTAAACATGGTGGACACTACTCCTTACCAAAGGCAAATGTGATGCAAAAAAGGAAAATTCCCTTTTGAATGATAAATGAAATGTATTAAATGGTAGCTTACCTAAAAATAGTAGCTTCAAAACAGGCAGAACTTACATAACATGTATCAGGTAGTTTCTTAGAGGTTAGGATTTTACATTTTAATACTGTGCAAAAGATTGCTACAGCTTTGGGTATTTGACAATGCTCATATTAGACCATTCCTCTCAAAATTATTGCACAGCAAATGGTATTGTGGTTGTGTATTTATGAAATACTCTTTCTTCTTGCTTCTCTCATTGGATCTAGAGCAAAATCTCTTTTTGTATTTGCTTGAGGTATAAATCAACTTCTGCAAGAAAAATACTCCTCCCTTGGAGCATGAAAAAAAAGAAGATACTGAACTGATTTTCACTCTACTTTAACAAAAAATTGTTGTCTTCCAGAAAAATATAGTACAGGAGCATGGTGTAAACAGAACAAATGATATTTTGAAAAGTTTTGTATGCAGAAGCACAGCAGAAGCTTTTCAATAGGTGGGCTTCTGAGGATCCATGTAAGCAGGGTTGTAAGGAGGCTGGGTGGGGTAAGGAGCTCCAGCACCAGCTGCAAAAGGAAAACACAAGAAAAAAACAGATTTGTAACATGTACATTCTGAACTCTACATATAAAATGGCAACTTCTGTTTTGAGTGCACAGTTAAAAGGTTCAAACTAGCCAGCATCTTAATTGGACTTGAAAACAGCTTGTCATAAAACATCTGCATTTCAGAAGTAAGGGCACAAAAACTTTTGTTCTTTTTGGCTTTGGGACTTTTTTGATGTTGAGTGTACATGAGCAGCCTTTAGGGGAGAACCTAACCTAAAATAAAAGGAACAGATCTGGCTCAAAAAACAGCCAGTGGAAGTAAGGGATGCACATACAAGAGGATATACCTGACAGTGTGCTGAGGAAAAAAAACAAACCACTGGTAAAAGGACTAGAGAAATCATATTAGGATTCCTGCAAGGAAAATGCTTTCCTGCTAAGTGCCAAAAAATTAATTAAGGAAGTAGAATAGAAGGGAAAAAATATCTCACCACTACTAAGCACATGAAAGAGTTTGACTTATGTACCAGATGTGCATCCCTTGGAGGAGATCCTTATTTTCTACTGTGCTGAGAAAAGCTGCTCTCAAGTGGCATCTCCATTTTCAGCTCTGTCAAAGAGCACAAGTTTGTTCAAGCAGCACCTGATCAGATCCCTGGAAAGTGCAAGTGTGGTTATCTTGTGCTGATCTGTAAAGTGAGTGGGCTTGGCTCCTGTGTGGCAGAGCAGGTATTCTCCCCTGGCACATGACACAATTAACAGCTGCTCCTTGGTTAACAGGCAGGAGAAATGAAGGGAACAACTCTCACTGTGAGGCACTTCCAGCTGCCAACATGGAAAGTGCTTTGGGGTACATTCCCAGAAAGAAAAACCCAAAAAAACCCTGAACAAAACAACTGTTTTAAAACTAAAACCAGCAACAGCCTGAGAAACCAGAGAGCAGGAGAAGTGAAATGACTAATTTATTGGCTCCCTCATATGAAAAAGATGAAGCCAAAGCACTCTGGCATAATCCTGTAAAAGCCACAGCTTCTTTGGCATTTAGAACAGAAAAACAGAGTCAACAGTCCTGCCAAGTCAGTGTTTTCACATGTGGGGCTGGTTTGCACATTATTAATATACAATTTCTAACTGTTTGCAAATCTTTCACACCATGAAAAGCCATTTTATATCCAAGCTGTCCTGGAAGTTACTTCCTAAGGGCATTATCTACTAGTCAGGACTATACTTTGTTATGTAAAAGGATGACCAGTGAGGTTTGTAAGAGAACTTGAATATCCTGCAGGTAAAAGCCCAGTTTTGGCCTCTTTGAGCAGTCTGGAGCCAATTGCTCAGAGAACAGCTATTACTAGCAGAAGTGGGAATTAGTCATTGCAACAATAAGGCTGTATGAAAACAATGCTGTGAAAGGAGAGCTGAAGAAAAAAGATTCTGATAATTTTAACTGCAAGTTGTCAACAGACTTCTCCTTTCAATCCCTTTGTCATGGGCAGGGTCACCTTCCATGAGACCAGGCTGTTCAGGATTCCATCCAAACTGGCCTTGGACACTTCTGATGTGTCCATAGCTTCTCTGGCCAACTTGTGCAAGGGCCTCACAAACCTCACAGTGAACAATTTTTTCCTAATAACTAATCTAATAACTAGTTTTATATATATATATAATAATAACTAATCTAAACTTGCTGTCCTTTAGTTTGAATCCATTCCCCCTTGTCCTGTCACTACATGCTCTTATAGAATAGAGCTCACAGATACTAAATTAGAAAGGGAATGTGGAAACATCCAACTCGTGTATACATATATATGTATGTATGTATGTTAATTGACTTTGATTTTAATATTAAATGTCAGCTGAATTAGTAAAATGTTCTACTGGATCTGCTGACAGTCCCACACATTGCCAAACTTTGCCAGTGCAGTTCCAGCTCACACCTCCTCTGGCAATGCTTAACACAGAAACAGTGAGAGGGAAATTTCCACCAGGGTGAATAACATCATCCACCACAACCTGAGCTTTACAAGATTTGTTTACATTTGTATTAACGCAGCCATAGACAATAATAAATGTAAATAACAGAAGATTTGCTCCAGAGCAGCTGTCTCTGAGCTGTTCAGGAGATGAGGAGCACTTGGTGCTGCCTTACCTGCCACAGTTTCATGGTAAGCTGGGGGTCCTGCAGGTTGGGTGGGGTAAGGGGGAGGGTACTGGGCAGGGTAGGGAGCCACAGGCATGCCTGGCTGAGGCTGCACAGCCACGGGCTGGTAGCCTTGGTACGGAGCTGCTGCGTAGCTGGGTGGCACTGCAGGCTGCTGGGGATAGGCAGAGTGAACCACGGTCGTGGTGGTGGCAGTGGTCACCACAGCTACAGCAAGGAAAAGGAACAGGGTTAGTGCTGGTGGTCCCTAAAGAAAAACCCCCAACAACTCCCAGACCCCCTCCACATGGTGGGATGGAAGAGAACTTCTAAATGCTCAGGAAATATTCCAAAATATCCCTCTGCAACCTCACATTCTGAAGCTGCTTAAATGCTGATTTTTAATGTTTAGGTATTGCAACTTCTGAGCAGAGTATTTTCACCTCTTATAGGAACACAATTTTCCAGGAGGGATTAAAAAAAAAATCTTTTTCAAAGATGTGAAGAAGAAAATAAATCCAGAGCTACTCACGGCGTGGGCGTCGACATGCTTTGTACAGGCAGCAACAGGAGCAGGTGAGGCACAGAATAATAGTGACAACAATCACTGCAAAAACAGTAACTCCAATGGCAATGAGGGTTCCAAAACTGCAAGACAGAGACCACAGAACTGGTAAGAGTCACTCCTTAACCAAACCTGCAGCAAACACATTGCTCCACCTCCAATCTCTCAGTCCTTATTGGACTAAGAAACAACTGTGCAAGGCAGTGCTGAGGGAGGTCAGGTCTGCTGAGGCAGGGGAGCTGAACCACCCCTGACAAGGGGTCTCTGGTCCCTCTCATTTTAGTCTGTGACTGTTGCTGTTTTAGTGTGAACACACAGGTTCAGAGCAAGCCCATAATGAAGCACCCCACCTGTTGGGGTGACAGCAAGTTCTTCCCACATTCCCTAAGACCTCCCAGTCTCAAACTCAAGACAATCTCAGCCCTGAAGAGATTCCTGGCACATTCCTTGGCCTCTGTAAACAGGTATTTTAGAATCCATGTTTCATACAGCTAGGAAGAACTGAAATCCTGACTTTAGTGCAATATCAAGTATGCCAGGTTACATTATAGGATACAGAAACACTGTATCTAAAACTAAACTAAAACTAAATGTGGGACTAAAACTCCCACATTTATTATGGGAAGACCAGAGATTACAACAGCTTTGACCCCTGTGATGAGCACCAAATGATGGAGGCAGACAAAACCAGTCACCTCTCAAAGCTTTACAAGTTCTATTTACCACACAGCAAAGCCAGTGACAATCCCCTTAAAGTGCTAAATGACATTATCTGTTTCCTACTGTCTGAAATCAATAAAGCCCATCTTCCATGGAAGCCAAAGTCTCCAGCACCCTTCTTTCTTAGAAAACACACCATGCATTGGTTTTGGGACAATTGCAGGAAGTCAGCTTTAAAGAACAATCAGCTATAAAATGAAGATTAGAGAGCCATTTTCACATCCATCCTGTTTTTGTTTGTTGGTAGAGATTTTGGCTACAGAGTTCTCTTTGGTTTTTTCCCCTGCTCAGTTTCCTGTTAACAGCTTTAAAGAAAAAAACATCTCCATTGCATCCAGCAATTTTCACTTGGCTACCAAACACCCACCAAATGTGAAAATTGCATTTGAGTATCAGTGACACTGGAAGGTTAAAAAACTGACAAAAAGAATTGCAAAATGCTTTGCCCTAGCCCAAATTTAACAGATCTCACCTCAGTGTCTTCTAGAGCAACTTAACCCCTAGTAAGCCGAGCACTGACAAATAGAAAGGCTCAATTTAAAATGCATTCTTTCACTTTAAGAGAGGTTGCATCAATTTTATTCTGTTTCTGCAAAAGGGAGAAGAAATAGCTTGAGTCAAATACAATGACTGTATGAAATTGTAACTGTATCTGACTGAGCCCTGATTCTGTGAAGCACTAAATGCAGCACTATGGATACTGCCATGGAGTACTGAATGGGATACAGGAAGCAGGAACTGCTGCAGCCTCCTGAAGTAAGTGTCAGAGACACTGCCAGGAAAATAAATGGATTACTGCAACACAACCACAGGATGTAAAGGTGAAAACAATGTGTTGAGGAACACGTGTGTGTTTTGCCCCATTTATTTGCACAGAACATTTTTGAGATGCTGACCCAAACACACACTCCTAAACACTCAGCTTTAAGTGCCCTCTCATCCTCATGAGCATTATCTTCACTTCAGCACAGTAAGCTCACAGCCAGCTCATCACCATCCAAAAAATCCCATTTCTTTCCAAGCTGGTGTAAAAAGCAAAATACAAATGTGATTTCAAGACAGGAAGAAAAGAGAGAGAACTGCACTCAATGGATTCATACACTGAATCACAATCCTGATTCCAATGTTCTCAAGAAACAGCAAGAACACCTGTGACAAACTACAGACACCTTCAGAAACTGCAGGACAAGAAATGTCAACTGCAATTTCTGATACTTGTGCAGCAGCCAAGAGCTTTTTCTTTTCTCCTATTTCCACTTTGGACCCACCCTGAAAGAGCTCACTCACTAGGGAAGCTGACTTTACTTCCTTTATACACAGCTATTCTCCAGCAACAGCAGCACAGACAAAGCAAAGAAGTTTTCCAGATTCTTCCTTGGGTTTTTTCTCCAGAAAAGGAAAAACACCTTCTTTGTAGTGAACTATGCTAAGAAATTCTTGTGTCAAGGAAAGAGATTAGGGCTAACAAAGACAACTAAAATTCTTCACTGGTACAGACAATGAACTTCTTAGAACTTTAGCAAAGGCTGGGCAGAATCAAAGATACCAGAAAAAATTGAGACAAAGTGGAGAAATATTTACTCATCATAAATTACTGAGCACAGCAGGAAACTGGAACAGCCCCCATTATCTATCACAACTAAATTAACTTCTGATACAAGGAGAAAAAACAGCACAAGCCCATCTGCAGCCAAGCTGAGGGCCATCAACAGATAAAAACACTGACCATGGGCTCCATTTGTTAGTTTTTAATAAAGTTTTCTGCTCAATGAAGCAGGTATCTCCTATTTGCTACCTCTTATAAGGAACACAACAAAAGCAAAGTTAAAAAGCCAACACACCAGGTCCTCATCTTCACCACATCGTTAGAGACACCCTGGGCATTTGGATCACTTGTGTCCTTGGCAAAATGACACAGCCAGGACACAAGGACAGGACATTCTGCACCCATCTTCAGAAGGGTTAAATGCAGACACATGTTTGAGGTGCAGGTGTTTCAGGTGTACAGGTTGGAGTTCTGTGTTTGTGTGTGCAAACACTGTGAGATCCACTCCTGCCCACTGAAACACTGTCTGATTGCTGCAGACCAAATTATGAACTTTCAGAGACAGCCCAGCAAGTCAAATAACAGAGAGGAGTTAGCTCTCCTCAGTTCTTTAAGGAGTGCAACAACTGGTTACTGGCAGGCATTTTTATCACCTACTGCACAGCAGATAATTTTCCTGCCAGTGCTTGGGCTCATGCAGGCTAATGTCTTAGAACAGCATAAAATAGAAACATTTACAGAAAAAACAGTAAGTGCTGTGAACTTGTAATTCATGTCATCAACACTCTCTTTCCACACTGGAGTTCTCCAAAAATACTTTTTTTTTTTTTTTAAATATTTTTACTGACAACTACAACTAGCAATACTCTTTTGGAATTTCTGCATGGTCAGTCACTACTGTAATAATGTCTTTTTTACTGCCCAAGGAGTACTGGTCCCAGCACTTCTTGAGCATTTAAGTGATATCCCACTACTGAAAAAGGTGCAGGAGGGCTGACACTAATGGATGATGGTCAAGTGAAGTCAGAATGGTGCTCAATATACTCAGTGAACCTTGTAACCTTTAGGAGACAAGATATTCCAGGTGCTGTATAAATACTCCCTTGCAGTGTGCTAAGTCCCTTCTTAGACAAAAATTGTTTCATTTGATTGCTTTCACCTGATGAATCTGCCTAAAAGGAGACTCATCAGGTGCCTAAAGGGCTCTAAAATATTTGGAATAAACCATATTCACACTAAATGATAATTTAATTACTGTTAGCATTGTACATAAATGAAAAAGAAACGTGAGGGATTGTTGCTTACAGATTCTTCCCCTGAATGGTTAATCATGAGAAAACAAAGGCCAACGAAACCAAAAGCACACCTGAGCCTGAATTCTGCAAGCAAAGGTCAGAGTGCAGCAGTCAGGGTGGCCACAGCAGCAGTTCAGTGCTCTGCTGGCGTCAGTCACATCCAGCTTTCCAGACTCCCACATTCTATATGCCATAGGCTAAATAAAGCACAGTTATAAACAGCTTGAGCTCATTCACTGACATTTCCTGCTTCTTTCTCTTCACAGGAAAGTGAACTTTTGCCAATGATTTCATAAAAAACAAAATCAAACCTAACAGTGGTTTTAGTGCAGCAATGACAAACTGTAACTTCTCATAAAATGTACAGAAAAGCAAATATGGAGAGATTTATTCCATTTATAAAAATAGAGAGATAACATCCTGCCCTTTCCTATCACCACCTCTCTCCTGCCTTGCCCCACCTCCACTTTTACCCCATCATCTCACCACTGAAGTGTATCTGTAATGAGAATGTCTCTCAGACTCACTTTAAAGCTGTCTAATTATTCAGTATATCTATCAGCTCACATAAAGGGAGCCTAGTTACTTGCCTATTTTTCCCCTTTCAGGACTGAATGAAATGCAATAGACATATTAAAATGTGAGAACCAAGGATCTAAATAATACTATTTCCAGAAGTTAATTCTCAAGGCATTTGTTCATGTTGGAGATCTTGAACAGTCAAATGGAAAAAAAAATTTAGAGTTTATTTAAAGCATTTTCAAATATCAAAGTTTTGATTCCAGCAACGTTTTTTAACTCTTCTTAATAGTTAGAATCACTCAGTGACATTTTGTAAGCTGATACAAAGGAAGTTTTCATATCTATGCCTTCATGTGAGTAGGACACACCAAAAGTTTTGTCTTAAAACAGAAAAAAATATCCAAATGAACAATCAGACCACCTAGTAATGAAAAATTAGCTTAAGCAGCCTTTTTATTGTGCAAGTTTTAATCTATTCCAAGATTTGTTCCATGCTTCGAGAAACACATTGGCAAGGCTCTTTTCAAAAGCACTGCTGCTTTTCAAAACAAACATTTACAAACAGTGAGTTATGGCTGTAACACAGGGTGGTCTGGAGAGACTTCAAAAGATAATTCAGGCCATTCCTAAAAGTAAAATAAAAAATTGAGTATATGCATGTCATTCCTTAGTGCTCCAGAAAAGGATCCAATTCCCAGAAATGGAAAATATCCACATGAATACCCTGACTCAGGTGTAGGGCATGCCCAAACAAGTCCCCAGACAGAGATGCCTAACTAACATTTCAGGCACTGCCACATTCTGCCTGTGAAGTTCAGCAGGAAAATAATGCTTTTTTTTTTGAGCCTTTCAGAGGGATTCGTTTTTAAAATTTTACTAGCAACACACTTGCTCAGTTGAATGTTTTAGCGTAAAAAATCAAAACATAAGAACCACTTTCCTAAAGATGAAACGAAAATAATTTACTATTACTCAGAAAGCAAACTCACAGGGAAACATT